GTACTTAGAGTCTAACGCAACAGTATTTACGATTTTCAGGTATTTTAAGAGTATTCTGCACATATTTTTGATTGCTCCATTTTTTTAGGGTTGGAGTATATTTCGCATGAATTAAATAAATATTTCAAGAAATATATGTGAAATATATTTTGTGCCTATTAATTTAGTATTTACATATTTCAAAACGCATGAAGGGAACTTCAAATGTAGTTTAAGTAAAGGTATTTTAAAATGATTTTTAGAAGTATATTTTAGTACTAAGTAAAAAAAAAAGAAGTGTATATTTTCGGTCTAGTTTTCGTGTACTTAGAATTATGAACTGTATTTAAAATACACTCAAATTAGAATGTGGTATATTTCGAACGTATTAGTTTTTGCTAAGGGTAAAAGGTGCCGTTTCCACGGGACGACTGACGGAGGCTCCGTGATCGAATTTGGCTACGCACTCGTACTCGTAGCCTCTGTAACCCGCAGAAAAGCGCGCTTGACGAGGCAGCTGTGGCTTGGTTTAATCTGAAATAAAATGATTGGACACTCTTTCTTTTTCAATATTTCTTTCCAGGAGCATGGTTGCACTATAAGCACGCGGAATTCTACGGCTCTAGCAAATTTAACCGAGATCATGCGCGGTGTTCACTCGAAAACGTAACGCACAACTAAATTCGGTCCGACCAGGTCATTTTTAGCGTACGCTATACTATTGCGTATTGCGTACGTAAGAGCCAGCAACGCTATACTAAAACTGTCAAATAATTTGAAGGCTCCGCTATTGCAAAAAGAGGTAATGTATTATACCTGTTCTATACCATTCCTCCCTACAATCTTATTTTAACACTGATGATTTGCTGTTGATTTCAGCAATGGACAGGAAGAAAAGAAAAGTAGACACCGAGTGCCGTAATTTCATTCAAGAATGGGGGGGTCAAGTACTTGTTCATCCAGTCTGGGGAGAAAGCAGCATGTCTTGTCTGCAACGAAACTGTGGCCGATTTAAAGGAATACAACCTGCGTTGCCACTACGAGATCAAGCATGAAAAACAGTACTCAAAATTTGTTGGAGCAGAACGCGCAGAAAAATATAGGTCACTGGAACAAGGTCTACAGTCACAACGAGCGGTATTTTCGCAGCAGGACGCATGGCGCATGAATTGGCCAAAAGAGGAAAGCCATTAATGGATGGAGAAATGGTGAAAGACTGCGCGCTGTGAATGGCTACGTGGTTATTCCCTGACAAAATTAATATAATCAGGAATGTCAGCCTAGCTCCCAACACAGTAGCGCGCAGAGTTGAGGACATCGGAACACAACCTCACGTGTCAAATTGCTGAGAAAGCGAAGCAGTTCACGCACTACTCTCTGGCATTAGATGACTAAACGGATGTTTGTGACACGTCACAGCTTCTAGTGTTCTTTCACGGTGTGGACAGTGAGTTCAACGTTACGGAAGAACTAGCGTCAGTACATAGCAGGCACGTAGCCAGGGGGGGGGGGGGGGGGCATGGGGCCCGCCCCCCCCCCCCCCCCCCCCCCGAAGTTTTTCATTTTGCTGGGACCTCCTCTTCCCCCTCCCCTTCGTATAGCATTTTGTCATGGGCGGGCCTCCCCCCCCCCCCGAAACCAAATCTTGGCTACGTGCCTGGTACACAGCATGCATCGGACCGTAACAGGAGAGGACATCTTCAGAGAATTTGAAAATACTGTATCAGAATACAACCAGGAGTGGGGCAAATTAAAATCGTTGGCAATTGATGGAGGAAAGAATATGTCCGGGGTAAGGAAGGGTCCGGTTGGGCAAATAACAAAAGCCGCTGAGGTTGGTGGACTGACAAAGCCAATAGACAGTTTTAGTATAGCGTTGCTGGCTCTAACGTACGCAATACGCAATAGTATAGCGTACGCTAAAAACGACCCACTCGGACCGATTTTAGTTGTGCGTTACGTTTCCGAGTGAACACCTCGCATGATCTTGATAAATTTGACAGAGTCGCAGAATTCCGCGTGCTTATAACGCCACCATGACCCTGAATATAAATAGCGCAAATAACAACGTGTCCAATCATTTTATTCAAAGTCAAACCAAGCCGCAGCTGCCTCGTCCAGCGCTCTTTTCTGCTACAGAGGCTACGAGTACGGGTGCGCAGCCAAAATCGATCACGGAACCTCCGTCACTAGTCCCGTGGAAATGCCACCTTTCATCAATGCTATCGTGGAATGAAATCCATGACCTACTGAAGTCCAGTGCATAGTGAGAACTTCGGCGATTTCTTGAAGAGTCGTTCGTTCGTCGACGATGAACTGAGCGAATTGGGGCATTCACTGGACGCCATATTTGAGGGTGCTGTTGAGAGCGGATGCTCAGAACGAGCTGACATTCATAGGCTGCTAAGACCGGCAATCTTGACGGTGCGGAATGCACGTTCCAAAAGAACTGCGGAAGCTTGTCATCCGCACGCGCTCAGCATTTGCGCACACGGCTATGGCCGCCAGTGAATGCTTCCTATAGGCCTAGCGTCAAGCAGATCGCAGCGTTGACGCACAATTCGAGCGGTGAGCACTTTCATTGTGCACTCTTCCAGCTGCACAGCGATCTGATTCGACCGCGGTACGTCCCGGAAAGAAGTGCCGCGCTGAACACCACGTTATTTCACCGTTCGCGTAACACAGAACGTAGAGAACACCACGACGCCCTTGCTGCGCCAGTCAAGGTGACCGCCATCTTGAAACTGGCGCTCTCGTTGGGCCCGAGATCTCTCGAGAGCTTCCCGCAAGGCCCGCTAGCCCGCAACGCAAAATCCCCTGCGTTGCATGCGTACGCAATACGCTAGTCCTTCTACTGCGTTCTTAGTATGCGCACTCACGACCCGCAATTTCGTTGCGTACGCAAAGCTATAGCGTACGGTCCACTAAAACTGTCTAATGTTTCTGCACTGTATGATTCATCAGCAGGCACTCTGTGGGAAATATGTGGACATGTCATGTGTTTTAAAACCTGTGATTTCAGCCGTGAATTATATCAGGTCGCATGGGCTTAATCATCACAAGTTTTCGTGAATTCCAAAAAGATGGTGAATCGGAGTTTGTAGACGTGGCCTATTACACAGCAGTGCGATGGCTGAGTTGCGGTAAAGTGCTGTCTCGTTTCTTCAACCTTAAAGAATAAATAAGGAAACTTCTCGCAGACAAGAATCGGCCCGAACCGCTGCTGTCGAACAGTGAGTGGCTTTGGAAATTGGCGTTCTGTGTAGACCTGACGGAGCACATGAATAAGCTGAATGTGAGGTTGCAAGGCGAGACACGTCTTATTCATGACGTATACAGATATTAAAGGGTTCAGGGTGAAATTACAGTTCTTCGAAAGACAAGTGCAAAACCAGAACTGGGAGCACTTCCCCTGTTGTGCAAAGCTCCGTGCAGAGACTGATGCGAAATTCCCCTTTATTCTTCGCAATGTAAATCCTCCGAGACCTTCAGAAGCAATTTTTCGAACGGTTTTCTGACCTCGATGGGAGAGTTGAGGAAATACACATGTTCCGGAATCCAGATAACTGCGATGTGGATACGCCCCCGAGTCAGTTTCAATCAGAAGTCATTGCCTTACAGTCAAACGACATTTTGAAGGAAAACTACAAGGAAGTAAATTTGATACAGTTCTACAAATCCTTGGGCTCTCAGCTATTTCCAAACCTGAAACAATTTGCTCGCGGGTATGTATCGGTTTTTTGCACTACATACCTTTGTGAGCAGACATTTTCAAGGATGAAGTACGTAAAATCCAAATACAGAGCTAACGTGTCTGTTGAACACTTGAAGTCCCTCCTAATTATCGGCTCATCAAGCTTGAAGCCGCAGTTCAGCGAAATAATAAAGCCGAAGGATCAGCTACACCGCTCACATTAGTCCTGCACCTCATGTCCGAGTAAATGTGTCGAAATTCTGATGCATTCCGGCTCAAATACTGCTTAGTGTTTTGTGGCATATAGTCGTATGTTGTCATCATCAGGTTCACCGTGCTTAGTCTCCTGCTTCATATCTGTAACTACGTTAAAATTCCTTTGCGTTCTCGTGTATATTGTGATATAAGTCATGTGTGATAACTATTGCCATAACAGTTTTACCGTTCTCATTAGTGTTTTTTTTTTCTTTTTTTTTATCTGCGCGAATATTTCAGAGTTTCTATGCGCTTTATTTATGCCTGGTGACTTTTCTGGGTAACACTTATTGTATTACTCTAAAAAAGCCCGCGCGTCTGCTTCCCCCCCCCCCCCCCGCCCCCCCCCCCCCCCCCCCCCCCCCCCCCAACACCTCTGAGATCCAATCACCGCAACTTACGGAGGCGGCTCAGCGAATGACGATGCCGAAACACATGTTTAGATCAAAAAACGCAGTCTGAGTTGTGACATTAAGCAATGGAAAACGTCACGCTTGCATTGCTTAATGTCACAACTCAGAATGCGTTTTTTGGTCTAAACATATGTTTTGGCATCGTCATTCGCTGAGCTGCCTCCGTAAGCTGCGGTGATTGGATCTCAGAGTGTTGTGCGGGAAAGTTGACGCACGGTCTTTTTTTAGAGTGTATGTCACAATTACCTATACGCTGAATTTCGAAATAAAGCATTTGTATTAATCCGCCTTTAATTACTTCTCGTTTTTACTCTAGCTTGAGCTCCTCTATTTAAATGCTCATCTGGGCTTATTACTACAGTTTTTACTGCTTGAGAATATTTATTGGTTTTCCGGCCCTCGAGACTGCGACAGGTCCCTAATCCGGCCCCTTGGCCAAAACGTTTGGAGACCACCAGAGAAAACAGAACGTGGCCACGGAGAAGAGAGCGAGCGCGACTCAAACCGGCTACTTCTCAATCAGTGGTTTTTTGGGCGGAAAGAAAACGAATTTCGAGCCGCGAATTGTTTTCTGGGTAGTTGGGCGCTCATATGTCATGTACAAATAAAAACTTTGGCGAGTATAAATGCCTTGCCAGTTGAGGTTTAGGAAACAGAGCTCACTGGGCAAAGTCTTCGTTTTTCTTCAACAGTCTTCCATGATGCCCGTCTTCCAGATCGGGGTCTACAGTACTGTAATTGTTTTGGTCCTGGAGCCCCTGCTGAGGAAAAATTTAGGGGTAAAAACAAATGACTTCACAATGGCAGAAAAAAAAAACTTTCTATACATTAATGCGCTGTTTAGAAAGAAGCCCGAGTTTGCCCACAGCAGGTGTGGGCTTTGCGCGTGCGCTGAAAAATATAACAAAAGTCATATGCAAACAATCTCTGAAGACTTCTTAAAAAAGGCTGATAATTCGCGAACATAATCAGATCACGAAAGATTACAAAAAACAAAACCAAAACAATACTTAAACCACAAAAAAAAAAATCAATACACAAGGCCCATTTATGTGGTTAGGTCCTACGACCTATGCTTATAAAAGTCGCATGGCCCTACCCGTGGCACTGACGTCACAGCGTTGTGGAGGTGCTGGTGTCGGCGCGGCGCCTGCCGGGCCGGCACCAGCGCTTTTAGCGTAATCAATACAACGGGTCTGCGCTTGTACTGAGTAGGCATCGATGCCAGGGACTGGCTTACCTTGACGGTTTCTGGGATGTCCGTGGGGTAGGCGACGTCGCTGCCGAAAGCCACGGCTGCATTCTCCTGTCCCGCGTCGTTCAGCCGGACGATGGCGGAGTCCACGTACCACGACGCAAAAAGCGCTAGTGAAACGAAGCACGGCACCTTCGTCATCCTGAGGGAAAGCAGCCAAGTACGGTAATCATTGTAGACGCGTGTGTGATGCTAGTCTATCCGCTAATGTGCACCAATATACTTTTTGCAAAAATATCAACAGGCCGCTTCTATCATTCGCTGCACGCGAATGATGGGACCGGCTTGCATTAAGCGCCGTTCACACTCTTGCAACCGACTACGACCGAGAGAGACCAGAGTGGTTTTTAAGCCTCTTGCGATCTCTTAGGACCAGCTCCGCTGCACCGCATCCGGTCCTAAGAAGTCACAGAAGGCAAGGCTTAACAACCAGTGTGGTCTCTTTCAGTTGTAATCGGTTGCAAGAGTGTGAACGGGCCTTAATTCTGCTTAGATACAGAGAAAGAGAGAGAGAGGGGGAGGGGGGGGGGGGGGGGGGGGCTGGCGTAGTAGATGCAGTTGCCTGGGGTGCTATGTTGCGCTTTTTGCACTCCCAGGAGACTTGGAAGAGGGAAGTGACGTCAACGACACAGCAAACGCAGATTGGATGTCGACAGAAGAAAACGAAATCAACATCCAATCTGCGTTTGCTGTGTCGTTGACGTCACTTCCTTCTCCCTAGTCTCCTGGGAGTCCAAAACACGCAACATAGCACCCCTGCGTGCCCTCGCGCGCCCGCCGCTGCGCTACAACCAGGGACTCACACCGAAAAATATTACGTTTCGGGTACGGCTACCGCTCCCAGGTAATATCAGTTTCGTACCGTTTTTTTTTTTTTTTTTGCGGTTTTAGTGTTTACGTTTTTGGTTACCGGTTACACGTTCCTAAAAAAAAAACGTCTTTTTTTTTTTGTTTTTCAACTAATTTGTGGTATTGAAATGCTGGAATGCCGTGTTATAATAAGTAGTCACAAATATCCAACAACAGGACATTCACAATAATAAGAACTCAGAAACGTTTTATGACTTTTAATTGGTCAAAAGTTACTCAAGTTTCTAGCTTCAACACTTGTTCACTACATCTATTTGCATTATATAGTTTGATACCCGAGCATACATGTTACCCCCGCTGCTCTGGGTTCATCGCTTTGTATATAATGAAAACGATAATTACCATTGCTACTTTGTTGTGTGGCAGCGTTTGTCGATAAACCTCAGAAAGTTTCGACTGGGTAACGGAAGACTTGTTTGCTCCTTCCGGTTGCTACGGTTTGTTGCAGCCTACACGGAAGAGTCTTCGCCCACACCGAAGGAACGAGCAGAACTACAACCCACCTCTAGCAAAATACTTCCGAGTGAAATAAAGTAATAAAATTAAGCGCTGGGCTATTTGGTGAAAATCAAACATAATGTAAGTGCAATAGCGCCAAAAAGGAAGACAAAGAAGAGGAAGGAAGAGCGTAGGAAGCTGTAAAAATATCTCCTGTACTGTTTTTTTTTTTTTTTTTTTTTTTGGTTTTGCGGATTTCAATCCGCAGAGGGGGCAGAGATAAAGGCATGATGCCTGACAGCGCCTCTGCCCCCTGCAGTTCATACAGCGGAAATAGCATTTCAAAGAAGTCACAGTGATAATAAATAACAAGACAGCCATCGTCATAAAAACAAATAGAAACAATTATTATAGAAATATCTGAAAGCACATGAAATACAATGACTCAACTCAAACAACTACACAAGCGGCACAGCTTGGACAATGCGGGCGATATGCTTATCATAACCCAGAAGTAAAATAAAATTAAAATAAAGATAAAGACAAAAATAGACACCGTTTTTTTTACATATCTACTAAACATTTATAAACAAAGACTTATAAGAAAAAGCGGAAACAAGCTAAATCAAAACCAAAAATCAGACTACAAAGCCAAAATTGAGAATTCCGAAGTTTCGTAGTACGTTACGTTTTATTGAAAATAAATATAAATAGATATGCATGCCTTAAATAGATGAAAATGCGATATCACTGCAAACCAGAGCTCGTCTGCAGTCTCTTTGGAACTTTGGAAAAGGGGAAGTGAAATTAACGTCAATGCCAGGGGAATTAAATAATTTAGTACTCATGTACGATAAACTTTGCCTGCCATAATTTGTTCGTATGCTTGGGATCCTACGTTTCGGGTCTCGTAATGTGTAGGCACTAGAAGGAGGTGTCTGTGTCAAATAGAGGTTGTTTTTGTAGATCCATTGAAATAATTTAAAGTGATATATCCAGTCTGCCTTCAATATATTATATTTAACAAAAAGTGGTTGAGTGCTCAAATTTCTGACATTACCTCTGTAATTTTCGCAAATACGAAGAATTTTTTTCTGAAGGATGATTAGTTTGTTGTAGTTAGATGCAGTGGTCGTACCCCAAACCAACATACCATAACTGATCTTAGAATAAAAGAGAGAATAATACAACGTCATTTTAAGCCAAGTGGGTATCAAATTTTGCATTTTATATATAATACCAACGACTCGAGACAGCTCTGCCTTCCTTCTATTTACATGGGTGGACCACGTGAGCTCTTCGCTAAACCAGACCCCCAAGAACTTTTGCTCTGCAACTTGTTCTATAACGGTGTTTTCAAATATAATGTTAATAGAGCTGTTGTCGCGCTTACTAACAGGTTTGAAGATTATGTATTTTGTCTTACTTGTGTTTAGCTTGAATCTATTTACTCGTAACCAATTCGATAAATTAATGAGGTAGGCATTGCAAGCATTTTCTAGGTATTCTTTAGTCACACCAGTAAAAAATACATTTGTGTCATCAGCATTCATTACTAACTCGGGGGAGCCTGGTATTATCGTTATGTCATTCACGTAAGCTAGAATTAATAAAGGACCTAGAATGGAACCTTGAGGAACGCCGTGCTGTATTCTCAATTTACTAGATGCTATGTTGTTAATAGAGACGTACTGCTGACGATTTTGTAGATAAGATTCTATTAGTTTTAGCGCTATTCCTCTTATACCGTATCTCTCAAATTTTTTTAGCAGGATATCATGTTGAACAGTATCGAATGCTTTTTTTTAGATCTAAAAACAAACCAAGCGTGAGCTGTTTGTTTTCAATGTTTTCTACAATTTTGTCCTTAATGTCTAGGAGTGCTTGCTCGGTTGATTTATGTTTCTGAAAGCCATATTGCTATTTCGTTATTATGTCATACTTCAGGAAAAAGCTAGTTAATCTATCATTGATCACGCGTTCATAAATTTTTGAGAATATTGGCAAAAGAGAAATTGGTCTGTAATTATGAATATCTGTTGCTCCACCTCCCTTGTATACAGGAATAACTTCTGCTAATTTTAGTTCGTCAGGAAAGTCACCACTCACAAGCATCTTGTTTATAACGTCGGATAGTAATGGACTCAGCAGAGCTGCTTTATATTTCATCGGCAGTGCCTTCATTTCGTCATCACCGGCGGCAACAATATTTTTTAAGCTGTCAATTATTTTATTAACTTCCCTTGGCGTCGTCGAAGCTAGCATTATAGATGCTGACGGATTAGCGGTCGTTGTGTATTCAGCTGTGTAGTCGTGTTGTTCAGCGTACTTGCCGATATCAACAAAGTGCTGATTTATTTTGTCGGCAAGTGCTTCACCAGATACACTTTGATTATCTATTAGGATATGTTCCACGTGGTTGGTTGCTTGCCTTCTATTAGTGAGATCGTTTACTGTGTCCCATATTTTTCTATGGTCATCGTGATTGCGTTCGAATTTATTTTGATAATATTCGCACTTCGCCTTTTTTAGGTCCGAGTTTAATTTATTTCTTATCTTTTTAAACTCAGCGAGCATGCTTAGGTCACGCTACCTAATAAAAGAGTGAAACTTCCTATCCTTATCTTTTATTCTTTTCAGCAGGTCAGCAGTCACCCACGGTTTTCTTATCTTTTTATTTCTTACTTTTGTTTCCTTCAGAGGGAAAGCTGTATCATAACAGTTTTTAAATTTCACCAGAAAGTTTTGATAAGCTACTGTAGCGTTGCTTTCAGAGTAAACGTCATCCCAGGTTTCCTGTTCTATAAGGGAACTAAATTTGCTCAGGGTCTCTTCGCTTATTGTACGATGCCAAAACGTTTTTGAGTCGTTTACACGAGCCATTTCAGGAGTAGATCCCAAGCAAAAAATCTGAAGATGATTGCTTATGTCTTGTACTCGAACCCCAGCTATAACATCATTTTTATTCAAGTTTGTGATGCATACATCGAGAGAGGTGGCAGTATTTAAGGTCACCCTTGTTGGCACTGATATCACATTATTACAGGCATGCTCATTAAGCAAATCTCTGAATTCGTTTGCTTGTGAATTATCGGAAATGGTGTCTATATTTATATCTCCCAGAATCACGAGAGGCGCTGAAGTTGATCCTAGAACACACAATATATTATCAAGCGTATTCATGAATTCAGCAATATTGCCCGAAGGCGGTCTGTATAAAGCAACAACTACTGTGTTCGATATTTTGATAACTAAGCTTTCAATGTTTTCATCAATCCTTGTGAATTCGTCAATTATTTGGTACCGTAGATTGTCCTTGATATAGATTGCTACGCCTCCACCTCTTTTTTCTTGTCTGACCAGACTTTCGCATTTATAACTATGAAACTTAGGTGGTGAGTCACTACTCGTTAACCAGGTTTCAGTAAATATAATTGCATCAAATTTTGCATTTACAGAATGTAAGAGAGCTTCAACAGTATCGACCTTATTTTTTAGACTTCTCGTGTTCATGTGTACTGCCGAAAACTGTCGTTTGCTTTTTTTGTACATTTTATTGAAGGCCGTGCAGTCATAATAATTACATTCGGGTTGCAAGTCTTCCATCAGAATGGTAATGATCTATAATTTGTGAGTGTTACTCGATTCAAATTGCAATTCTGTCGACGTCAGTCATGCTAGTAATTTTTAGGGCGTCAGTGTTCACATCTTTTCTCGCGAAGACTTTACCGCTGGAGGACCAAACAAACTTCCAGCCCACCTTTTTTTTCTGCGCAATTGCTGCGCCAAGCAGTTTCTTGTTCTTGCTGGTCAGATGCTCATTTACGTATACGGGACAGCTAGGGCCACCGTAATTGTTGTGTTCTGCTTTTATGTTGGCAACACTGTACATACCATAACGTGATCTGGCAACCTATGACTCGCATTAAAAAGGCTTTTTCGTTCAACGTTCGAATGGACTAGTCGACCCTTTCTTCGTGTCCTCAGGACACTACATAATGGCGACGAGGGAAGACCGTTGAAGAACCCTGCCGGGCCTGCTACTGCCTGCTGCCGGTGAGCGGACGCCATGCTCAGTTACAGTCCGTCACCACCCCCGTTCCTCGCTACGCCGGGACCAGCGTGCGTGCCATGGCGGCAGTGGAAGTTAGCTTTCCTGAACTACTTGGAAGCCGTTGGCGGCGACGACTTCGCGCCAAAACGCAGGAGGGCCATTTTGCTCAATGCGCTGGGCCTGGAAGGACAGCGGATCTACAATAGTGTAGCACCGACTACTCCGGCATCGGTCATCAAAGAAAAAGGAAAGGAAGGTGTTGTGGCTTACGACCACGGTGCTTACGACAAGAGACAGGACGAGGTGCAGCCGATGTAGCTTCCAGAGCCAAACGGTTTTAATGTCCCGTGCATTCGTTTCGTCTCGCACATCCCAGGCGCGCGCTCACTTCTTTGCCCGCCGCCTCGCGCTATTTATTGAAACAATACTCAAGCACAACACTCCTTCCCCATCAATGTTTTGGCTGACTCACACAAGAATACCTCTCCGGTGGCCTACGTTGTCGTATGCTACTTCGAAGCACTGGTGTGGTCGGTACCGCTGTCTCGGAAACAGGCTCCATATCGAGGGCAGCAGGCTCTGTCATGTTGTCTCGAGAACCACCGGACGCCCTTCGTGGTGTTGCAGCCGGAGTGTCGACATTTCTTCTCTGTGCAGACGAATCTTCGAAGTGTCTCGGACGGACATCATCCACGTGCACATACCGATGCTGATCTTGCACTATCACGACGTAGGTTGATGCACTTACTTTCTTCAACACGTCCCGCCAACCATGCAGGATCTGTCGGACGTGATCCCCGGACGAGGACTTGGTCGCCTTCTTCGAAAGTTCGCCAAGAGCCTCTTCTCATGTCGGCGGCTGTCTTGATTTGTTGCTGGCGATCTCTCATGCGTCTCTCCATTTCAGGATGAAGGAAGCTCAGACGGGTCCTAGGCTTCCAAGAGAGAAACAGCTCGGCTGGAGTTCTGTCGGTCGTACCAGTTGGGGTGTTTCTGTATGCAAACAGGAACTGGTCGACTCGATGTTGCATCGATTTCGGTACACCCGTCCGTTGCTCGTCGATTACCTGCCTCAGGAGGTCCCGCTTGATGGTTTGCACACACCGTTCCGCGCTTCCGTTTGAGGCGGGATGGTACGGAGGACTTTTCGTGTGGCGTACCCCATTCATCGACAGAAACTCTACGAACTCTGTCGCCACAAACTGGGGTCCATTGTCTGTCACTACCTCTTCTGGTAGTCCAAACGCGGCGAAAACACTTCGCAATCTTTCGATAGTACATTTTGTCGTAGTGGAACTCATTAGAAACACCTCTACCCACTTTGAATGAGCATCTACGACAATCAAAAACCAGTTCTGATCCCGGAATGCAAAATCAAGATGCACCCTTTGCCATCTGCGCGTTGGCCAACCCCACGTTAATAATGGAACACGTGGTGGCGCGTTCTGCGTTAGTTGACAAGTACTACAGTTTTTGACAGTGTTTTCGACATCATATGTTATCAAAGGCCGCCACACGTGACTACGTGATAGCATTTTCATTCTGGTGGGGCCTGGATGTCCCTCGTGCAACAGGGACAACACTTTTTCCCTAAACACTTCGGGAATGATCACTCGATTTCCCCATGTTACACACCCTTGTCAACTGACAATTCGTGACGGCGCACAAAGTACGGTTGCAATGCCTCATTATCCACATGTGAAGGCCATCCGTTCAGTGTGAAAAACAACACTCTTTTCATCACACTATCCTTTTCAGTTTCTCTCCTAATTTCACGAGCTGACAATGGCACTTCGTCCACCGCCGAAAAGAAACTGACGTAGTCTGAGCTATCGTTCACGTTGGGCAAAGGCAGACGTGACAGCGCATCAGCATTCTGAATCTGGCTACCCTTCCGATAAACCCACTTGTAACTGTAGGCAGCAAGTAAGAGAGCCCACCTCTGCATCCTGGCTGCTGACATCGCCGGAATTTGTTTTTCATGACCTAACAGCCCTGCCAACGGCTGTTGATCCGAATAGATGCTGAAATTTCTGCCATACAGATACTTGTGAAACTTTTTCAACCCAAAAACAACTGCTAGGGCCTCTTTTTCAATTTGGGCGTAACCCTTTTCAGCCTTGCTCAGAGTTCGTGATGCATAAGCAATCGGTTTCTCATCATTCCCAACTCTGTGAAAAAGAACCGCTCCCACTCCGTACGCTGAAGCGTCACATACAAGCCCCAATTCCTTTTTTGGGTCATAGAACGTTAAGACGTTTTCATGCGTAAGCCACGCCTTACTTCTGTTGAATGCGTTGTCTTCTACCAACGCCATTTTGCGCCCTTCTGTAATAAGTCATACAACGGCTTCAGCTCGGTTGACATGTTCAGCACAAACTTGCCATAAAAGTTAATCATGCCCAAGTAGGCGCGCAGTTCTGATTCATTTTTGGGGCATGGGGCCTCCCGTATGGCCTTTACTTTCTCTTCCGGTGGTCGAACCCCATGTTGATCTATCACATGTCCCAAATAATGAACAGACGTCTGAAAAAATCTACATTTTTCTTTCTTTAGTCTGATGCCTTGTTGGCTGAACCGTGCCAGCACGCTTTCCACCTTTTTGTAGCAGTCCTCATAAGTTTCGCCCGCTATTAGTACATCGTCTAGATAGCACGCGACATTTCTCAGCCCTTCCAGTACTTTGTCCATGACGGACTGAAAAATTGCAGGAGCACTAGTGATGCCGTAAGGCAATCTCGTGGACTTAAACAAGCCAAGGTGTGTGTTCACAGTGACCAAATCTTGTGACTCCGGATGCAATTCCAGCTGCTGGTAGGCTGTAGACAGATCAAGTACGGTAAAGTACTTACAACCACTCAGTAAAACAAACAAATCTTCCATGAGCGGGAGAGGGTAGTGATCCGTCCGACAGACTGGGTTTAAGGTCACTTTGTAATCTCCACACAACCGGACCTGTTTGTTTGGTTTAGGTACCACTACCAAAGGTGTCGCCCACTCACTTTGCAACACTGGTACCAATATTCCTTTTGTTACTAATGATTGAATTTCCTGCTCCACAGCTTCTCTTAGCGCATAGGGCACAGGTCGCGGTTTGCAGTAGACAGGGGTGCTTTGTTCCTTCAAAACCAGTTTAACCTGTTGTCCTTTTATCAAACCCACACCTTCTCCAAAAAGTTCAGCGTACTTCTCAAAGAGCCTTGCTTCCTTTTCTTCTCTTACACCGTTTACGCATGACCAGTCTAGCCTCAGCTCTTCTAGCCAGTCTCGACCAAGCAGCGGGGTTACGTTGCCCCCTGGTGCCTTAACTACAATAAGAGGAAGTGTCTTTCTCTGTCCATTGTGCTCGACTGGTACTGACAACTTCCCAGTCACCGTGAGAAAATTCCCCCCATACGTTCTCAATTTAAGGTTGCATGGCTCCTTAGGAATGTTTGCCCAGTATTTCACACACCACGATTCTGGCACTACCGACACGGACGCTCCAGTGTCTATCTGCATTTTTACGAGCTTGTCGGCTACTTTAACATCTACTTCATAGTTACGCCTTCCCGTTTCACACGCGCACACTGTGTAAAGCTGCATATCATCAGCTCCCTCACTTGCGACGTGTTTAACGGAGTCTGTTTTGAACCTACAAACTTTTGCCAGGTGTCCGACCTTTTTACAGACATGACATTTGTACTTGTGGTACTTGCAGGGCTGTCCAGTGTGTACCTGTCCGCAGTAGGAACATGAAGACGTGGTGTCTCCCGTATGCCCGGATGTCTGTTTAGTCGTGGAAGCTCGTGGACCCTTATTTGACTTGCGCCACGGTTCCCTTTTCTGTTGCCGAACCGCGTTCACGTCGTCTTCTTCTCGTTGGCTAGACGACCTATGACGACCTGCAGTAGGCTGAAACGTGATGGTTTCTTTGCGTGCGAGCTCGATGCTTTTAGCAATGTCACACGCGGCACCAAACGTCAACGTCGTCTTCTTCAACAAGTCGGACTGTGTTTTCTTGTCTTTTAATCCCGCGACGAACCTGTCGCGCAAAGCATCATCCAAGAAACTGCCGAACTCGCAAGTCGACGCGAGCCTCTTCAGCTCCACTGAAAAAGTGGCTACCGTCTCCTCTTCCTTTTGGTAGCGACGGTTAAACTTAAACCGCTCTGCTATCACCATCGGCCTCGGAGCGTAATGACCTTTCAGAACCGCCACCAACTCCTCCCAGCTTTTCTCTTCTGGTTTGACCGGATGGAGTAAAGTCTTAAGAGTCTTGTACGGTTTCTGGCCAATTGCGGTGACAAAAGCAGAGAGCCTTAGGGCTTCGCTTACCTTTGTAGCCTTTAGGTAGTGTTCGAATCTTTCGACGTAAGATTCAAAATCTTCGTCACCATCCTCCACAAATGGATCGAACCTTCCCAACCCTGCCATGTTCGTTCGTCCTTGCCGTGGCCCGGTGGATTCCTTCTACGATGCCCGTTGCAGTCGTGATGGACGTTCCATACCTCGTCGCCAATTATGTTGTGGCTTACGACCACGGTGCTTACGACAAGAGACAGGACGAGGTGCAGCCGATGTAGCTTCCAGAGCCAAACGGTTTTAATGTCCCGTGCATTCGTTTCGTCTCGAACATCCCAGGCGCGCGCTCACTTCTTTGCCCGCCGCCTCGCGCTATTTATTGAAACAATACTCAAGCACAACAGAAGGAGTCACCGAAGGGCATGACGACAAGAACGTATTCGACGAAGCACTGGACGTGTTGGACAACCACTTCTCGACTGCGACGAACGAACTGATGGAAAGACATCGTTTCCGTCAGCGCCGTCAGCGCCGTCAACTGCCGGGAGAAGCCTTCGAAGCCTACGCCGCCGCACTTCGTGAGTTGTCGTCGGACTGCAATTTTGGAGAGGCAGCTGACAAGACTATACGCGATCAGCTCTTGGAGGGAACAGCGTCGCAGCAGATACGCGAGCGCCTGCTCTTCGAGGGAACGAGTCTGACACTAAATCGCGCGGTCGACCTCGGCAGGCACATCGAACAGACTCAGCGAGAGCTGAAGGAGTTTGCTGGAGACCCCGTCGTCCAGCGAGTTGTCGACAAGCCGACGAGTGGGAGCACCGGAAAGGCGTCGACTGCGTCGTGCTACCGTTGCGGCTCGACTGCGCACCGCGCGAATGCGAAGGAATGCCCGGCCAAAGACAAGACATGTCGCAACTGCAACAAGCGGGGGTACTTTGCTGCGGTGTGCAAGACGAAGCGGAGGCAAGAAGGTCGGCAGGAAAATCACGCCGCGAAAGAATTGTCGGCGGCCACGAACTCTGTCACGATTTTGAACCTGGACCCTGACAACATGCGAGAGAAAGGGATCTACGTCGACATCGACGTTGACAGCGTGACATTACGGTTTATGGTCGACACCGGCTCGTCTGTTTCACTTCTGAGTGAAGATATCTTCCACAAGCACTTCGCTGGCCGCTCGCTGACTGACGCGACGGTGACGCTGCTGGATTATTCCAAAAAGCGCATCCCAGTGAAAGGCTGTTTTTTAACTGACGTGGCCTACAAACACACACGCACGCGTGTTCTGTTTCATGTTGTACAGCGTGGCAAGTCACTTCTTGGACTGGATGCCATTCAGAACCTGCAACTGAACATCCACGGCGACACGCTCAGTTGTCTACAAACTGTCGCGCACTCAGCGGATTTGCTGCCAGTGAATTTACGCGGTGAATTCTCACATCTTTTTTCGGGCGAGCTTGGCCTGGCCAAGGGCTTCGTTCATCAAGTCAAGGTGCGTGCATCGGTGAAGCCAGTCGCTGCGAAGCTACGCAGATTGCCCATTACGTTGCGCGAACAGGTGTCTGAAGAGTTGCAACGGTTGGAACGTCTCGACATCATCGAGCGGGTGGATGCAGCGGAATGGACCTCACCCATTGTCGTGGTTCGGAAGAAGGACGGCACAATCCGGTTGTGCGTCGACTTGAGGGAACCGAACAAAGCCATCATCGTGGATGGGTTCCCACTTCCCCATACTGAGGAGCTGCTGCACCAGATGGTGGGTGCTACCAGGTTTTCAAAGCTCGACTTGGCATCTGCGTACCACCAGGTCGAACTGACGCCGACAGCCGCGAGTTAACAACTTTCGTCACCCACGATGGTCTGTTTAGGTTCAAGCGTGTCTGTTTCGGACTTGCACCAGCGCCGGCTGCCTTCCAAAAGATGATGTCGCTCATCCTGAAAGGATGCAGTGGGGTTCTCTGTTACATTGACGATGTCATTGTGTGGGGGAGGACGACCAGCGAGCACCAAGAAAACCTGAGACGTGTTCTGAGGCGCATTTCCGAGGCTGGACTCCAACTGAATGACAAGGGGGTGTTCGACGTAGACCACCTTTCTTTCCTCGGACACGTGGTGGGCAAGGAGGGCCTCGCTCCTCTGCATTCGAAGGTGGAGGCCATCGTTCAAGCACCAGTACCGAAGGACGTCTCGGCGTTGCGGTCATTTCTGGGACTCGCAGGCTACTACTCCCGTTTTGTCCCACACTATTCTG